ATGTATTAGGTGTATTTGCAGGTCAAAATGGTTATGGTTATCAAAGTTTAGCTTCTTTTATTGAATGTGTTTATTTATATCAAAATAATTTTATTAATGATTTGGATTTATTAAAATTACAATTACCATCAGTTGATTTTATTAGAAATTATGAAAATAATGAAAATAACAATGAAAATAATGACAATAAGATTAAAAATTTACCAACACATATTGCAACATTAATTACAACAGCAATTTTAGAAGCAGGTAGAATTTCATTAGATAGACAATTAGATGGTTTATCAGGTGATGTTTTCATTCAATATGATAAGGATACTTTATTACCAATTGGATTTGAATTTTAATAAGATTCTCAATATGAATTAAGATTAATTGGACTAGAAAACTAATTCCAACCTCCAGTAATCAAATGAAAAGTTTGATAAATATTTATTAATTATTTAATTTATATGTATTATTCTTCTGCATTATTTGTCATTTCACTAACATCATTGAGTGAAACAACATTTGGTACAGTGTTGTTGTGTTCAATTAATTCTTGTTCTTCAGCAATTTCACTCATATTACCCATACTAATAGCATTATCATCATTCTTGTATGAAAATTCAGAGTTTTGTGTAACTTTTAGATAAACTTCTTCCAATGTTGTTTGTGAAATACCCCAATCTTTAATCATATTAGTATTACCATTAATAGATGTTCCATTATTATTTAAAGTATTTTCACTTGTTAATTTTTCCAAATAAGAAATTAATTGACCTAATTCATTAACTTGTTCTTTAGGAACATTGAAAATGAAATTACCAGCACTTTGTGAAACAATTTTAACATTTGTTAAATATTGATTAATTGTTTTTACAACTTGTTTTTCATAACCATTATTAGCAACTACAAGTAAATTATATCCACTTCCATATTGAGATTTAATAGATAATGAATCACCAATACATTTTAATTGACCATGTGCCATAATTGCAATACGATCACTTAAATAATCTGCTTCATCCATAGCATGTGTTGTTAATATCATTGCTCTACCTTTCTTCATTTTATGAATTAAATTCCATGCTTTTTTACGTGAAAATGGATCCTATTAAAATATTAAATTATATTAAATATTAAATTATATTAAAATTAAAATATTAAAATTATAAAATAAATAAATTAAATATTAAATAAATTTAAAAACATACCAAACCAGTAGTAGGTTCATCTAATAAAATTAATTTAGGAGAACCAATACAAGCAATACAAATAGATAATCTTCTTTTCATACCACC